AGCAGAACCATGCATACATGTGGTATCATTGATATTGTTTGGTAATTTCCACACTTTGACCGATCACGTTTCTTTGGAATGGGAAGAAATATTGATCTCTTCCAGTCAGTTGGCCAGGTATTTGTCCTCCAGATTTCTTGGCACAACTTGGGAGCATATCCAGGGCAGCATCTGTTTGTTGAAATATATCAATTGGTATACCATCAATTTCTGGGGTATTGTTTTTTTTTGCCAATTCTTTCAGAGCAGCTTGAACTTCTTTCATCACCACAGGCTCTTGCTCATATGTTATTTCATAAAATTCTTCTGTGTCTGCCAATTCCTTTTGGTATAATGACTGTATACTCTTTCCAACTTCTTTTAATGCTTCTTGGATCATTAAATATTCTGCCCAAAGCATCCTTAAGTATTGCAACTCGAGGCTTGAATTTGTTTTTCAGTTCCTTCAGCTTACGTAATGCTGAGTGAGTTCAGCCCCTTTTATGTTCTGACTCCAGCTCTTTGGACATTTCATTATAATACTTTACTTTGTCTTCCCTCGCTGCCCTTTGAAATCTTCTGTTCAGTTCCTTAATATCTTGATTTCTTCCCTTTGCTTTGGCTTCTCAGCAGTCTAGTGCAATACTCGAGTCTCCTCTGATATCCGTTTTAATCTTTTCTTCCTCTTTCTTTGTAAGACCCCCTGAATTCTTCCTAGAAGATATTCTTGATATCCTCCCACAGCTCATCTGGTCTTAGTTCATTAGTGTTCAAGGCCTCAAACCTGTTCCTGAGATGGTTTTGATATTCAGATGGGGTAGACTCAAGGTCACATTTTGGTTCCCGTGGATTTGACTTAATTGTCCTTAGCTTCATCTTGAATTTGCATATGAGTAGTTGGTGATCGGTTCCACAATTGGCACCTTCCCTAGTTTTCACAGCTGATATTGAGCTTCTCCAGTGGTTCTTTCCACAGATGTAAGAATCTGATTTCTATGTATACCATCGGGTAAGACCCAAGTGTATAGCCTGCGTTTTTGCAATGAATATATTGTTGATTGTGCAAAATTCTATTATCCCATCTCCAGCTTCATTTCTGTCACCAAGTCCATGTTTTCCAAGTACTGATCCATCTTCTCTGTTCACAACTTTTGCATTCCAGTTATCTACTATTATTATTACTGCATTTTGATTGCATGTTTGATTGATCTCTGACTGCAAAAGTTGGTAGAAATCTTCTATTTCCTCTTTTTTGACTCTGGCTGTTAGATGTACTATGAATAATAAAAATAAGAGTTCTGTTTCTTTCTAAAGCCATCTATCTATCTATCTATCTATCTATCTATCTATCTATCTATCTATCTATCTCCACCTGTATATCTAGCTGTCTGTGTCTGTCTATCTATCTATCTATCTATCTATCTATCTATCTATCTATCTATCTATCTATCATCTATCATCTCTCTCTCTCATCTCCATCTCCATCTCTATCTATCAATCTATCAATAACCACCAAAAAAGGTGACTCAACAGAGCATGGAAATTATTGAACAATATCAATTATAACACAAGCACAATCCTGCTAAAGATTATCCATAAATGACTGGAACCGTACATTGACAGAGAACTACCAGAAATACAAGCTTGGTTTAGAAAAGACCCCACCACTAAAGACATTATCACCAATGTCACACGAATCTTGTCTGAAAGCAACAAGTACAGGAAGAATGCCTGCCTGTGTTTCGTTGACTATGCAAAGGCATTGATTCCAACTCAGTGGCCCTCAATCTGATATCTGAGGGCTGTAAATTTTCCAGGCGAAGACTGCTCATCTCCTTTGAAGTGACTGATGGATTTGACCTGCCAACCTTTACATTAGAAACCAAATAAGTCACATCCCACCCCGACAGTGTTCATTTTGGTTGACTAAGTTGTTATGTGCTGTCAAGTCCCCTGTGACTCATAGTGACCCTATGTACAACAGCCCTGAACCCTGCTCTATCCTGTGCTGATCTAATGGTCTCTGACACACCTATCCCCTCATTACACCAGTCACTGAATCACTCCATGTCATTGAAGGTCTTCCTCTCTTGTGCTGTCCCTCCACCCTCCCAAGCATGATGTCCCTCTCCAAGGACTGGTCCCACCTTGCAACATGTCCAAAGTATGTCAGATGAAGCTTCGGAATCCTTGTATCCAAGGAGCAGCCTGGTATCATCCTCTCTAGGATGAACTTGTTTGTTCTCTTAGCAGTCCATGTTATATCCAATACTCTTCTCCAGCACTACAGCTAAGAGGCATCAGTTTTCCTTCTATCATCCCTAGTCATTGTCCAGCTTTCTGATGCTTAGCAAGTAATTGCAAAACCATGGTATCAGGTGCACCTTAGTCTCCAGACTGACATCATTGCTCTTCAGTGCTTTGGAGAGGTCTCTGACAGCACATTTTTTCAATGCAATTTGTCTTTTTATCTTTTGGCTGCTGGACCAGGCTGTTGTTGACTAAAAATGTCTTAACAGAAATATTAACAATTTTTTGTATTTATGTTGCTGCTTTTCTTCTGTTTGTATTACCTCTTAGTAAGATATAGTTTACAAATGATAAACTTCATTCAATGAGAGTATATTAAAGTGCTTAGTTTATTCACATAGTTATAGAACCATTTCCACATTTTAATTTTAGAACATTTGCATCATCACAAAAAGAAATTTGATACCCAGTATTCTCCTTCTCCTGATATATTCCACCCAACTTTCTACTTCTTCACTTTCCAGGTCTGAGGCATCATCAATCCAGTTTCTATCTCTACAGATTTTCCTATGATGAACATCTTATAGAATTGGAATGGTGTAGTATGTACTTTCTTTGATTAATAATAATGTGACTAATGCATGTTGTGGGAGGTAAAGATCTTCTTTGTGTGCATATGTATAATATCCTATTACTCCTAATATTGTACTTCAGCATAGAAACTGAAATCATTTTTTTGGCTATGAATGCAACTCCATTCTTCTTCTGCTTTTCATTCTCGGCTTAGTATATCATATGATTATTTGATTCAAAGTGGCCAAAGCCTGTCAATTTAATCTTACTAACTCAAAGGTAATGTCAACATTCATGTGTTCCATTCGACTTTTCACAACTTCTAATTTTCAAACATTCATAGTTTGTGCATTCCATGTTCCAACTATTATTTAAAAAATAATTTTAATGAGCATTTACAGAGATTTTGGATTTCCATTCATTCATTGCTGCACTTCTCTATCCGCCCAGCCCTCCCCATCCCCAGTTCGCTCCTTTCTTTCAAAAGTAAAGGAAACACTCCTTCCCTGGTACACAATCTCCCCGCACCCCTCCCATCGCCCCAAGTACATTCCACTATGCAACCTTAATTGTGGATTCTTGTGATAACCATAATACCCTATCATACATCGCTTTTAAATTATTCACTCCTTCATCTGTTTCAGTGCAGTATACACAATTTATCCAGTTTTTCTCAGTCTTACCCCAACCCTGATGTCAATCCCATTTTACAACAGTGGCATCATGCAATATTTGTCCTTTTGCGACTGAGATATTTCACTCAGCATAATGTCCTCCAGGCTCAGCCATTTTGGATGATATTGCATGAGTTCCTTGTTTTTAAATGCTGCATAGTATTCCATTGTGTGAATATACCACATCTTCTCTAGCCATTCGTTTGTTGATGGGCACTTAGGTTGTTTCCAACTCCTTGCTATTGTAAACAGAGCCGCAATAAACATGGGTGTGCATATATCTGCTTGGATGTCAGTTATGGTCTCTTTGGGATATATTCCCAGTAGTGGAATTGGTGGGTCAAATGGTATCTCTATTTGCAACGTTTTGAGAAAGTGCCATACCGCCTTCCACAGCGGTTGCACCATTTTACACTCCCACCAACAGTGAATAAGGGTTCCCCTTTCTCCACAACCTCACCAGCATTTGTTGTTCCAACTATTAAAGAATGTTTGTAACTGTTTCTCCTCATTTTCAAAGACTTCCAATCTGCGCCCTACTTCTAATACTATAACTATCTGTGTTCCTATTTATAGCAATTTCAGAAGCCTGATATTTGAAAAGTGAATGGCCAATCCTGTTTGTTGTATGTCTTAATCTAGGAACTCTACTGAAACCTGTCCACCATGTGTGACCCTGGTAACATTTGACACACCAGTGGCATAACTGTCAGCATCAAAGCAACTCACAAGTTACCTCAGTACAACAAACTGACTGACAAATACTGTACTAAAAAGAACAATAATAAACAAGCAAGAATATACATGCTTTATCTAAAAGGTGATTCTTTTTATTATATATTCAAATTTATTGAGAATTACATAAATTTAAACTTAGTGCTTTTATGTACAAATTGACTGGTTATGAAAAAACATACATCAAGAAACTGTCTGAATTGATGTCTCTTTATGTATAAAATTTGGTCTACTTGTCATTAAATATAATTGTTAAACTAACTTCAAACTCTTATTTTCCTTATATTTACAGTATAAATTGAAAAATTTCATTGTCTTTCTAATTAAAAGTTTTGTAAAAATGAAAATACGTAGAAGTATGGAGTAGGAGGTAAACATTTTTTATTATCTTTTCATACTCATACATTGAACAGAATGTTAGGCTCTAACTTCAGGGCAGGGTAACAAATAATATGGAGGTCCAGATGGATGAATGAAAAAGATCTCAATTGTTCTCATGTTTTACTTACTTTTAGGAATAAACACAAAAGCTACAGCCTTAAAGTTCTGAGTAAAATAAAGGGTCACTGAACCGGGAATGGGTAGTTCCTTAAGGAATATATCTGCCACTTAATAGAAAGTTGTGAAGATTTAGTTTTAACCAGCTACGTTTGTGTGAGAGCAGGAAGCAATGTCTTTAGTTTTATTCCAGATAAACTGTACACAAAGTATAGAGAGTGGGTGAAGTCCTTCTTGGAAAAGGCCGGGTTAAAGTCCCTTTTGCTCAACTCTCCACTTGGAGGAAGAATGTCACATGACTACTCCAATGGTTTTTCTTATCCAGTTGAGATACTTTTTGGTAAGGAGAGTGTAGACACCAGGTTTCTTGGGGTTTCCACACTCTCCAAAGGAAGTGACACCTCTGAAAATGTTATCACATATTAGAGGACTTCCAGAATCCCCCTGAAACAGAAAACCATGTATTTTAAATAAGAGTGCATTCCAAAAATGATTTATTTATACATTCATTCATTTATTCACTCACTGCTCATTCATTCTCTTTCCTTAAAGGTTAGTTTGAAGATCTCGGTTAATAACCATGTGCCCTCAGCATCAATTAATATAGACTTGTCGTTTCCAAAAATTGTCCTGTCAAGAAAGACAATTCTGGAGAAGTTGTACAAATCAATTTTCATCGGTAAAACTCAGAAAGAATATTAAGGGGCGAGAACTTTAATAATAAAAAGTCATTGTCTCCTTCATCCTTCTTGGGTGCTCGTTTCTTGCTTATTAGATGTTAGGAGAAGAAAGTAAATGTTGGATCTACAAGAAAGCTTGAGGGAGAATATCAACTACCCTCTTCTCTGATAGAGGATACTTGGTAAGCCATCTCTGAGCAAGGAATAATAGTTATATTTTGTACAATCCTTACAGATCCATTTCCATTAGTCCTCATTTTAAGCTTTCTCAACCTCACAAAACTTCCTCTAGCACATGAGTTCTAAGTAGAGTCAACTGTAGTCAAGCCTGCTCTTGGCACATAAGGGACAAAACAGTATAGGAGTTCAGTCAGATGGACTGAGTTCAAATTCAGATCTGTTCCACTGACAGCTAGGTTATTTATCTTGAAAAGTTAAGTAGCTTTCTCATGCCTTGATGTCTCTGTAAGTTTCTGTATAATGCAAATAATTAATTTGGTTGCATGCTAATCAAGTGGTTGGAGGTTTAAGTTCACCTTGAGCACCTTGGAAGAAAACCCTGCTGATCTACTTCTGAAAAATCATCCACTTACACCTCACTGGAGCACAATTCTACTTTGACATACATGGAGTTGTCGTAAGTCAGAACTGAGAAGACGACAAGTGGTTGGTTCAAAGTAGTGGTAATAATAATAGTGCTTATCTAATGAAGCTATTGAAAGATTTAATGCCATAATTAAGAATCTGAGAGTTCCTGGGAAATGCAAAATGCCATTAATCTTATAAAGAGGACTGGGGAGTACCCATGATTGGTAACTGAATGGTTTCCTGAAATTATCATTAGTAAAGAAGAATGGTCCCTGGTGAGAAGGGTTCACACTGCACAAAGAAGCAGACATTACCTTTGCCAACAGTATACCATTCCCAATAGTATCCATTGTCTGCCTTCTACATAAAAAGTAGTAACAATCATCTACTCTATTCTTACAGATATTCTTTTTTAGCTTTATTATCTATAGGGGAAAAAAGGATTGAGTGATTATTTACTTACTTTACACGTGTCATCTGCACCATTTCTACCACTAGCACAGATCATGCTATTGTCAACAACTAACTTAAAATCATAATGGTCTTTATCATTGCATTTTCTTCGGTCTACAACAGTGATATTGACTTCTCTCAAGGTCTGCGAAGGTCTACATTGGTCTCTTCTGGTTTTTCCCCATCCTGCTACATGACATCTAGTATTGGCCTTGACGTCTTCTCCTGTTTTTGGCAGTGGAAGTGTTTTTACAGCGTCAGTAATCTTTGCTTTACTGTTCAGCTAGAAAGTAAACAGGAGATAGGGTTTTAGGCAAAGACAATAGGAACAAAAGCCCAGAAAACAGCTCTGATTGGAACATAGGTCTGCTTGTTTAGAATGTCTTTATGAAGAAGATAGGTGAAGAAGTATTTCAGCCTAATTAACAACTTGGTAACTGACTTTTAAAGAATGAGAATATACTCTTTGAGATGTGTTTTGCATAGGCAAACACCAGTTCAGATGGCCTGTCAATAAAGATCGCATATTTGTGATGACTAAGGATTTGGAGATCAAAAAGTTTCTGTGGAGAGATTAATTATTATTCAATTACTTAAATGTTATTAGATTTGTAAATGGAACTATATTGAAACCAATATAAGGAAATCAGTGTTGCAGTGGTACCAAGGGAGGAAAGGGCCAGTGTTCTCATTTTCTACCTTAAATGGATTTCCTGTTTCTGAGCATGTGTAAACCAGGCTGAGGGTCTTCCCTGCCTTAAGGTGCTCACCTAACTTCTCCCTTTTCAGTTAATGTCATAAGCCCTCTTCCGGCCTAACACTCTCTTTTAAACATCTGAGCAAAGAGTTGTTGTTACTAGGTGTTGTCGAGTACAACTTATAGTGACCCTTTGAACAGCAGATCTGATCCCTGTCATATCTTGTGCTATCCTCGTCATCTCTGACACTTGACCCATTGAAGTAGTCACATGTCAATCCATCTTGTTGAGGGTCTTCTTCTGTTTTGCTGACCCTCCTCCTTTCCAAGCATGATGCCCCTTTAGCTCCTAACAAAATGCCCAAAGTATGTGAGATGAAGTTTTGCCATTTTTACCTCCAAGGAGCACTCTGGCTGCACTTTTTCTAAGACACATTGATTTGTTCTTTTGGAAGTCCATAGTATATTCAGCACTTTTTCCCAACACCACAATTCAAAGGCACCAATTCTTCTTCCTTACCAATTGTTCAGCTCTCAGATGAATAGCAAGCGATTCTAAAGACCATGGCCTAAATCAGGTGCACCTTCATCTTCAGACTGACACAATTATTCCTCAGTAATTTGAAAAGTTCCCTGAAAGTAGATTTGCCAAACACAATATATCTGCTAATCTCCTGACTGATAGTTCCAAGGTTTCTTCTTGTTGAGTCCAAACTGACCAATAGTTGACCCTCCAGAGGATTTTCAGAGGAAGTTAATCACATGGGAAAAGATTATCCATCTTCCTCCTGCAGAACAGCTGGTGTCCTTGAACTGTGTGCCTTTGGCATTGCAGTGCAGCTCCTTACCACTAAGCCACCAGAACTCCGTAGTACCAAGGGTGTTGAAACCATTGACATTTTCAATCTTTTCTCTACCATGATGTCAATTATTGGTCCACTGAGAGGATTTTAGTCTTCTTCTTTTTATTTTTTTTAATTTTAGTCTTCTTGATGTGGAGCAGCAATCTATATTGAAGGCTGTAGTCTTTGATGCTTTGCAGCATGTGTTCAAGTTCTCACTTTCAGCAAGCAGGGTTGTGCCATCTACATAGCATAGACTGTTGATAAGTCTTCCTCTGACCCTGATGCCACATGCTTCTTCACAGAATCCAGTTTCTTGAATGTTTTATTCAGCATGCACAGTGAATATGTGGAGAAAGGATACAACTCTGACATAAAGCTTTCTTAAATGATGCATTGCTCTTTTGCTTTGTGTTTGGACAACAGCTTCTTGGTTTAGGTATAAGTTTTGTATGAGCATAATTAAGTATTCTGGGATTGTTTTTGTTTGAAGTTATGTGCCATAAAATTGATCCTAAGTTAATAGTAACCCTATGTTACAGAGTTTTGTTTTGCTGTAAACTTTTGGAGAGTAGATTTCCAAGTCTTTTCTTCTGCTGGGCCACTGCTGGGCTCAGACAACCCATTTTTCAGTTGTATAGCAGCCTCACTGCTCAGCCGTTGCACCACTGGGGCTCCTTGACTGGTGGATAGACAGATTTAATAGTCATTACCTAAAGCTCATTTTCAAACTCAGAGGCTCCTAGTTCTGTGGCCCTTCTAAAATCAACAGTGTTGTCCACTGTAATGTTCCTATGATTTTTATGCCAATCATGAAGCTCAACATCAAGAAGATAAAGATTTTCATCACTGGGCCAATTGGCAGCACCATAATGCAAGGAGAGAAGATTGAGGTTGTTAGAAATTACAGCTTGCTTGGGTCCATAAGACCAGCAGTCAGGAAATCAAAAGATGAACTGCATCAGGAAAAATCTGCTGTCGTGGACCTCTTCAGAATGCTGAGGAGCAAAGATATCAGTCTGGATACAAAGGTGCCCCTAATCCAGGCCATGGTCTTCTCAATTACTTGTTATGCTTCAGAGAGTTGGACAATGCCTAAGGATGACAGAAAAAGAATAGATGCCTTCAAGTTGTGGTGCTGGAGAAGAGTCTTGAATATATCTTGGACTGCCAAGAAAACAAATATGTCTTTCTTGGAGAGGGAGAAACTAAGTCTGTCATTGGAGGCTGTGGTTTTGAAGCTCTGCCTCACTTACTTTGGGCAGGTGGCCAGGAGAGATCAGTCCTTGGAGAAGGACATCATGCTCAGCAGGGTGGATGGACAGCACAAGAAAGGGAAACCCCTAAAGAGATGGATTGATACAGTAACTGGGTGATGGGAGTTGGTGTTTTAGAATTAATGAGACTGGCTCAGGGCAGGGAAGGGTTCAGAGCTGCTGTACATCAGATCATTATTCATCGCAGGCGACTCAACCAATAACATTCTATGACAGGTTTAGAAGCAGGAATGGCATCCACTTCCTAAACAACATGCCTCTGGAAACTCTATGAACTTTGATAAATGTCAATAGTTGCAGAGGGGCTTCAGGCCTTTTGTTCATAGGGTTAATATGAGTCATGCTTGACTCGAAGACAATCAACAACAGCAACAGCAGCAACAACAACAATATATAAGACTATCCTACTTCATTGGTGCCTCTTCTGCATTGCTGGTGCTGGCCTCTGCTGATGTTCTCTACGCAGAATACAACTTCAAATTCCCATGTACTCCTTCTCTCCACTTTCCCACTCACTAGACTTTCTCATGGCCTTCAGGCTTTTCTATCTGGTTGAATGAATAAGAAGGAAGGAGAAAACCAGAAAGGGACTTTGGTCCCTTAATGAGTTGACCGAAAGGCAATTTTGGAAAGCAAATGCTTGTAAGGAGCATTCCTCAAGTTTTCTTATACACACATTGCTTACTTACTGCACACAGTCAGTGATGACCACATGTTTAAGCTTTAGTCCTGGAAGATTATCCACAGTGAAGTCTTGACATCCTCTTTATGATTTTTCTGTTAGCATCATGCTGTCAGCCACAGTGTCAGAGCTGACAGGCAGTTTCTGGAGCCTGCTTCAACAGCGTTGAGCCCTCACCTCCCCTGCTCACCCACTCGTCGTGGAATGATATGCTTTCTGAGTCCTCATGGAGACGTGACCACTTAAATGCAGGTCTAAGAAATTATGAACCCAAATCTAGAATCTCTTCCCTCCTCATGATTACATTTGCCATGGTCTGATTTAATTTCATTTTTTATTTTGAATTATTCTAGAACTACTTTTGAGGGCTAACTGGGAATCAGACACTACTATTTTAATGACATAGAAATAAATGACGAGGACAAAAGTATTTATCCTGAAGACATGAAATGCCATTGGAGAAGGCAGACCAAAAAACTACCCAAACACCAAAATTGAAATATCTTGAGAATGCTAAACGCTGTGAAGCAAAATGTTGAAGTGACGTGAACAAGAAAGTACATATTTCTTGGGAATATGGGTGAGACAGATGGTGGAGAGGAGGTAAGAGGAGGAGAGAGTTACCTAGCTGAGATTTAGAGTGTGGGTGCAGGGGGATGATGCAAAAGAGAGGCCTAGTTTGTTCCTCTCAATCAGGTGATTTGGGAGATCAGACCTTAAGTATTGGTGGTAGCATTGGTGGGAGATTTTCCAGAAGCACATATTGTTGTAGAGTCTTCTTTTTGCTCCTGATGAAGTGTTTGTTGAGCCCCTGGTCTCCCTCTTCACTCCTACCAATGAGTTCTTCCTCTGCCCCTTGAATGGGGGTATAAGGGTCTCTGTTCACATGCTGACTTCTGGAGCTTCCGGTGATGCACTTTCTTCAGACAATCAGAGAAATTGTTCTAAAAACAAGTCTGATCATGTCACCACTCTGGTTCTAATGATGTCCTATTTCCTTTTCCATAAAGCTCAGACTTCTGACTGAAGTTTGCAAGACTGACTTCATAGTCTGTGTCCTGCTTCCTTCTTTTCTCAAATCTTAAGACAACTCCTTTATCTGACCTTTTTCTACTATTTGTGTTTTCCCAAGACCCTTCTGTGGAGCTGTTCTTCCAGCCTAGAAGGCTCCTTCCCACTTTTCTCTTACCTAGCCCCCTGCTCATTTTGTCACCTCCCAGGTTCAGTTTAGGTGAACCTTGTCTGGGTGGACTTCTCCCTTTGACCTCAACCACCCGTGTGCTCCTGTCACACCCTTGTCTCAGCTCTGTTGTTATTGAGCCAAAGACCTTTGTTATTGTTGTTGTGTGCCCTCATTCCAGAAATGACTTACAACTAACCCTCTAGTGGGTTTTCAGAGGCAGTTATTTGTGCCAGAGAGATTGCCCATCTGTCTCCCACAGAGCAGCTAGTGGATTTGAAATGTGCGCTGTTGAATTTGAAGTACAGTTTCTTACCAATAGGCCACCAGAGCTCCTTAAAATACTGCTAGCTGTTGATATATTTGGCTGTCTCCTCTAGACGCCATGGCAGAACCTGCTTACTATTTATCTTCTGAGATCAAGGAAAGACTGCCACTGAGAGCTAAAATAAACTTTCATGTGTTAGTTGTGGTCAGTTGTTCATAGCTGAGCCATGGCTTTTCTGGTTGATCATAAACAATCTCACAGATAACCATCGTCATAATAAAGACTGCAGAACAAGCTTACTCTACAAGCATGTTTAAACACAGGCAAACACAAAGTCATCACACAAGTCACAGAAATGACCAGATACCCACTCCTGGATAAAATCAGTGAGTGTTAAAACTAAGCAAACATAGTTGTAGCTTTTGCCTAATTCTTCCACTTTCTAGAAAAATACAAGTCATTAAGATGCCTTATCATAGAATTTTCCCATTCGCTGACAATATCTAATTCAGAGCCAGCCTCTGTTTCCTTACACTGCCCAATCATTGTCTTCCGTATATCCCAATCCTATTATAAAATAATTCGGTAACTTTTTTGCAGGTCCTGTATGGTACAATTAGTCGAAGTGCTTGATGGTTAACTGATAAGTTGGAGGTTTGAATCTACCAAGAAGAGTGGCCACTGTTGTAAAACGGGACTGACATCTGGGTTGAGGGAAAACAGAGAAGGAGGGGAGGAATGATGTATTACTGTATTGAAACAGATGAGAGAGAGAGAACTGTTTAAAAGGGATATGTGACTGGGTATTATTATTATTATTATTATTGTTATGACAGGAGTCTGGAATGAAGGCTGCATAGTGGAGTGGACTTGGGGGGAGGGATTGTATAGCAATGAAAGAGTTTTACTTTTCAAGGAGAAGAGTGAATTGGGGAGATGGGATGGGCAGGAATAAAAGTGCAAAAATGAATGACTGGAAACCCGAAGTCTCTGTAAATTTTCATTAAAATTAATAAAAAAGAACAAGCAAAAAAACTAAACAAGTAGAGAAATACTAAAAAAAAAATAAAAAAGAAAGACATAGTGTTCTGCTTCTAAGAAGTTAACTGTTCACACCTCTGTGGGACCCAGACCTACTCTGATAGACTATGAGTCGGAATCTGATACTGGAACATTCTTACCCCTCAATATGCCAACTCTGCTGGATGTTAGGGGAATTCCAGGTAGTCTTCGTTTTTTAGGCATTAACTTTCTACCTACATAAATGATTATTACTGACCTACCTACCTACCTAAATCATTGCTGGTGAGTTAGAACCAACCCCTGACCTTCCAGTGAGTTTTCAGAGACACAGGAGATTGCTCATCTTTCTTCTAAGGAGCAACTAGTGGACTCAAACTGCATACTTTTGGGTTGGCAGTGCCAACTCCTTACCCTCTAGGACATCACAGACCCATTGGATTCTGAGGTCCTACCTCAGTCGGGATTTTTTCAGCAGCATCTGTTAAACAGGACTAAGTCCCAAGTGAAGGAACGTCCCTGGGACAATAGTGCTCAGGCCCAGCTGTCCTTAATCCACACCCCAGGCCTTAGCCAGTAGAGAGGCTGTGAATAAACTTCTAGTTTCAGATTTAAATGGCAAACTAGCAAAATTCTAAATGTCTATACATATTAAAGAACAACCCATATTTACCTGCAGCAGTATAAGATCCCCTTGAAATGTCTCTGGATCATAGCATGGGTATTGAATACTCTTCTTAATGAAAAACGTTTGTTTATGTTCCTGTTTGGAATGGGACCCGAGAATAATTTGATATCTGCCAGTCCTGAAAAATAAAAAATGTAACTTATGGAAGAGAATGGGTGAAAATAGACTGTGAATTTCCTTTAATTATGTCTGATAAGTTCTTTCTAAAGGTTTCCTATTTATAAAATATGCACAGTAAGACAGGAGAACTTATGGGACTTTTCTCTATTGGTGTTTTAGCACCTCTTATCAAAAATTCCAAAATATTTGTCAACACAAATTGCTTTGATCTCTTTTTGATAAATAAGCAATAAAATGGGAAATCTCATGCCTTTTGGCACAGCTAAGAGTCTTGAGTTAAAAAGGTCTGGAGAAGTATACCTGAGTGATGCTCCCAAAAGGTGACCTGACTCAGACGTTCTCTCCAGAAGTCAGAGCTTAGGAGGAGTTTAAGAGACAGAGCTAGAAGAGCCACTCATTTCTCCACCTGATTTGGAGTTGAGAATAAAACCCATGCACATGTGTTGAAACCTAATGAAATAGATTAAACTCAGGAAGTAAAATAGAAGTAGCAGGCCTCCTTTCTGTGCTTCAAAAAGAATCTTCAAAAATAAGACAGACTTTCTATAGTCACATTTTTGTAGGATGGACCGGGGGGGAAAAAAAGAACTTCGGTTTTATAGTAAAATTTTAAAGCTGCATACTTGCACATACATAGCCTGGCTCTTTCATACACACATACAAGCGTGCGCGCACACACACACACACACACACACACACACACACACACAGAAAAAGAGAGGGAAAAAGGGAGAAAGAAAGGGAAAGAGGGAGAAAGGGAGAGAAAGAGGGAGAAAGGGAGAGAAAGAGGGAGAAAGGGAGAGAGAGGGATAGAGACACACACACACTAGGTCTAAACAGAAATTTCGTTTGCTAATCTATTGGAAGCTATTCTACGTTAAGGGGAGACAAAAACATTTCCTGATTTGTTTGGCCAACTTTACACCAAGGGAGTCTGTTATTTCTGCCCACTCCTTAAAAGTGAGAAGGTGACTTCATCTCACACACTTTGGACATATTACCAGGTGCTAGTCCCTGGAGAAAAGCAACACACAAAAGCAGATTTGGAGAAAAGAGGAAGACATCCAACAACATGGATTGACCTACTGGCTACAACAGTGGGCTCACACACAGCCGTGAATGTGAGCAGGACTGAGCAGTGTTTGGTTCTGTTGTTCACGCAGTTGATAGGAGGGGCAGCCAATTCAGTGCCCAACAACAAGAAAAACAGTTTTGTTTCCAGGGTAAATTGTGCTGACCATTCCTACTTGACTAATTCCTATTTTTGTAAAACAATATAGTAAGAATCCATTTTCATTTTCTTTGTGGGGAACCAGTTTTAGACCTCTTTTTTTTTGCTCATGAAATTAAAGCTCATGTGAGTATTACTGGCTAACAATAACAGGTATTAGTTAAGAAAACAGCATCATCTGCATTTGGTGCACATCCTGCCTTTCAAATCATGATCAGGAAAAACCTTTATATGAGCCATAGAGAATGATTTTTAAAAACTGTCAAACACCAGTGATTCCTTATGATTCAGCCCAATATGTCACAGCATGAGGTAATGCCAGTTTCTGGTAAGAAAAATAGCTGCAATCGTAGATATTAATTTTGACTGACTCTGTAAAATGTTTGTGAAAACATTATGTAATAAAATATACCAAAGTGTCAAGGGTGATTATGAAGGTTATTTTTCTCTTTTCTTATTTGTCTAAGTTTTAATAATATTGCTGTTTATAGTGAAAATAAAATGTGGAAAAAGGGTCATGTGTTTCCATAGGCCGTGGCTTTTTATATTCACGCAGACGATTTGTCTATTGTAATAATTGACTGTGCCTGTCTACTTTTTTTCTCCAATCTGACTTGATTTTGGATCTCAGAGTCATTTTCTCCTCCCCTGTCTGACTTGAAAGGTGCCCTGGTGGCCCTGGTGGTGTAGTGTGTGTTATGGATAAAGCGCTAACCCAGAGGTCAACACTTCTAAATCCACTGTTGCTCCAGAGAAAGATGGACAGTTTCCATGCACAGGATTTAGAGCCTTGGAAGGATGGACATCTTGGAAGTACCCTGACAGACGGGTCCCCGTGAGTGTGAATTAGCTGTTGTGGGCTTCACCCACCTTGGGAGTGCAGGACTACATACCGAACACAGTGAGCTGCTGTCAGCACCCAGTCCTCTTTGATCAAAGCTCCTGCACAGAGGTTCTTCCCTGTAATTTGAGCCATGTAGGGTCTTGCATTAGGTCCCAATTCCTTTCCTCCTATGATTCCCACGTAAGGCTCTGAAAAAACTGAGAGAGTGGTCCAGAGTGAAATCCCAGTGTCTTGAGTCATGTTTTAACCTGAGAAACTTGGATACTGTGAAGGCCATAGCACTGCAATCAAGTGCCAGGCCTGGTGGTGATGCGTTTTGGGTTCCTCCTCCCAGTAACACAGATACTTTCAATAGTGTGTTCTCATAATACTATTGGGAGCTATAGTGGCCAAGTGGGTAAAGCATTGTTCTTCCAACCCAAAGGCAGGTGTTTCAAATCCACTAACTGCTCTTTGGAAGAAAGATGGGTGATTTACTTTGTGTGATTTACTGCCTCTGAAAACCCCCTGAAGGGTCAGCTTTTAGTTGGTTGCAACTTGATGGCAACCAACAAAAAACACATACTAGGTGTTTAATACAAATGAGATCATACAATATTTCCCCTTTGAGCCAGATTAATTGCTCTTAACATAACGTTTTCAAGGTTTGTTCCCCTTGTAGCATGAATCAGAATCTCACTTCATTTCTTTTTTTAAATTTTCTGAATAATTATCCATTGTATATATGTACTACATTATATTTCGTTATTTATCTGTTGATAGACACTTAGGTTGTTTCTGTCATTTGACTGTTGTGAATAATGCAGCAATGAGTATTTGCTTATAACTATCTATTTACAGTCCTGCTTTCAATTCTTTTGGATATGTAGCAAACGAATTTCTGGGTTATATAATAATTCTATGTTTAATTTTTTTGGAACTGTTACACTATTTTTTTTTCTTTTTGTTTTTTTTTGCACTATTTTTAAAACAATTATTTAAAAGGCCCAACTCAACTTACTACTTTTGTTTTAGATGTTCAGGTTAAGAATACTCTCCTAGCTTCTACAATTTTCCATGGGCACTTTGGAAAATAGCATCTTGAATTAAAGGAGCAGTTCTTGTCCTTAGGAAATCGAAAAACATTTAAAAGAACATCTGTATCCTACCTCTGGAAGGGAGAAAGTGTCAGACACTATTAATCTCTTTTCTAAAAGTTTAAGAAACAAAGATTAAAGTTTTCCCCGACATCACATAGTCAGGGCAGGAGTGGGCAGGGACCCACCACAGTCTATAAACTTCCTACTGGTGACAGGTTAGATTGTTTCTGTGTCAGTGTTGATGTTGTGTTCTTGACCTTAACAATCTCACAATATTCCGTGGTAAAACTATTATCTGGAACAAGTTAAAGTCAAGTAATATTAAAATGAAAGAAAAAAAATTAACAACATAACAATAAACTGCCTTTGAAAACCCACCCAAGTGTCAACTGTCATTTGGTTCTGACTTGATTGCAAACAACAACTTGGCAACAATAAAAATAAAAACATTGGGTTATACTAGACACTCTCCCATCACTACTAGATCCTAGTGCTGATATTTGCTACAATGCAAGTGGATAGTATTATGACTTTTGTCCATAAATATGTTTATACAAGGTAATTCAAGCTCACACAAAGAATAAGTGGCAAAGGTAGTGCCAGTTACACATCATTCTTTCCATTGTAAAGCCCTGCATGTTTAAATTGCTTCACTTTTTAAAATTGCAGAAATATTTGAGAATCTGATAAATCACTGGTGTACATTTGCATGTTAATTTCTGCATACCATTTTGAAAGGTTCATAGCCATTCTGTTGCTCATCCATGACTCTAATGGAACTGGGAGACTCCA